GCACTGTTATATTCGAGACTTAGCCTCACTTTCCATTTTTAAAATTAAACTTTAGTTAAAATCTTGAGTATCCGATGCCATCGAGAGTTGATTTACTTGATTATGGTCTTGTTTTGTAAATAATGCCTGATTAATAGTTCATATAACTTTTCAGGCCCAAAGAAAGACCTACAATAGGCAGATTTAGCTCCTGCATAATGTATGTTTAATAAATGTCTAAATATTAATTCATATAACAATTAAAGCCAGAAAAACATACTGCAAATAGGGAGATTTAGCTATTACATAATGCATCTTTAAATGTTAAATAATCAATCTGAATACACTTTATAGTGGATTAAGCTTGATAATTGTTAGCAAAATGCAATGACCCTCAGAGACATTAATCAAATAAACGAATGATGTTTAAACTAACATTTCCTGAAAACTCTCATCTTTAAATCCACATGTTCATATTACTTAAAAATAAGGAAGTGCATAGTGTTAGATGTACTTGTGATTAATTCATCATGACATGGCTAGATTATACATGAAAGGGTATAGGGTACATGGAGCCAAACTATTTGTGAATAATGATTTTAGGGGTACAAGTATTCAATTGATTTAGTAGCTTAATTGCACAACTAGATGTATAAATTATATATTCATGTAATTCAGTTTTGGTTTTAAGAAGACAGTATTAAAGCTAAGCATCTGTTTTATCAAAAGATACCTCCTTTTTTAGAGGTGTTGAATATACTTGATTCAAATCTTTTTTTAAAATTGTCACACCTAATTTAACTTTGTATACAGTCTCTTAAAAGTGTGCTGTGTATTTTGGTTTTGTCTCAGTAATAATGGTCTATCTACAGGGACAGAGTGTTATCCAAACATTCACAAGTGTGTTATATAAGTTTATGAATAACTTATACATGTAAGCCTTACACTATAAGGTGACTTTTGAATTAGTGCATCCAAATTTGACACATAGTAATGTAATTTCTTTTTTTTTTTTTGGTGTGTATACCATCTGGCCCATGAACTGTCAAGAACAAACTAAATTGTGACATTTTTGATTTAGAGGTATTCATATAAACATGTGTTATTTATTAATATTAAATAAACAATTAGTCATCATGAACTAGATATCCGTCTACAATAGTAGTATATCAATTCTAATTCTATTTATACACACAGACATCATTAAATAGTTGGAATACATGTAACTTCATTAAACACAATGTGTTCAACAAACATTTTATCAAAAGGATTTGATAATTAACACTGTAACCATTCTTCAAAGCAATTGCCACAAGGTTTTCAAAACTCCTTCAACATGTATTTTCTAGTATTGATTTCTGCTTTTGCATTCGATTTCATTTGTTCATTTCTACATGTTCAGTGTAATTTTGTGGTCAAAGAGTAATTATAGAGGTAGTTGCTCCTGATTATCTCTACGAGACAAAGTATCCATTTATAATACCTACATGTAGATAGGCCTGTATTTGATCATTGGTAGACAAGCATTAGATGTATGACAGGATCCATATAATTAGACATGCATCCCAAAATCTTCAATAATTTACAATGTGTGTACAGTATGGCATCAACTACTATGATACACAGAATTCTAATCATCTCAATCTGGGCAACCACTTCCTTGTCATAATTAATTGATAAGAAAAGAATCACAATAAGAAAACAATGATAGCATTTTTTTTTTCAGACAATCAACTATACATTGTATGTAGGTGCAAGATAACAATTCCAAGATATTCTCCTATATTGATCACTAAAGGTATTGTTCTTGAAAATATGTGTCTAGTTATACATGTATGTGTTTACAATGTATATGATTCTTTACATTCTGATTTGAATAAATCACTGTACAGCCCTTTCAGTGCTAGTGATCTGTTTAAGACAAGTCTTTGACATATCTAATCAGAAGAACCTTGTCTGTTCTAAGTGAAGCCAGAGCATGTTCAATTAATTATTAGATTTAGAAAACAGTGTCTTAAATAATTATACTACAGTATAGATAGAAGAAACTAACAGTCCATTTTTGGACTGGAAATTACACTAAGCACTAATCGATCAATATCTATCAACTTTAATCCTATTCTAACAATTACTTAAATCCAGATTTACAGTAATCAATAGAAATCTAAAACAGTTACTTTGACTTACAAGACTAGGATAAGATTCCTGTTATATTCTTTTTTCAAGCTCAATCACTGGAACCAGTTTAGTTAATTCCTGTGGGTACAAGTATATTCAAACCAACAGTGGTTCCAGTTATGAATTACAATTATGTCTGATTTCAGTCTGTACTTTTTTTCTTATCTTACATGTATTTACATACATGTACATGTACAATTTCTGTAAATATTACAAATTAAAAACTGTAAGAGTACATGTACGGTATGTATTTATAAATGCAAACATAAGCCTACATGACAAAAGCATTTGTGTAGTCATGTTATCATGTACATGTACATATACACACAAAGTTTTATAAATCCTGCAGCATCTGTGATTTATTTATGATTAATGCCTAGTGACATTCCTCTCATTTGTAAAAAATGTTGTTGGAATATCACAAAATACATTTATGATCTATTAACATCTGACAGGAACGTACATGTATCAACACTGAATATTCAGACAATTATGGTACAGTACTAAAGCCATTTTTTAAGCACTTAATTGATCATTCCATTCAGGAAACAATTAAGCCCAGAATAATTATGGAAAATAAAGGTACTCCACCTGGAAAACCAGAAATAATACAATAGAAAGCTTACTCACCATAAAAATGAAATAAAACTTGACTAGGGAAACAGTTAATTGGTTAGTACTGATCACTTTCAGGAGTCGGACAGTTGATCATGCTTTCTTCCTCTGATGTGTCCATGGGGAAGTCAAGCTCAGATTCAGTTTTGTCTTGTCCAAGGGGATTAGTTGATGTTACAAGGGATGAACACTCAGGTGAAGGGTTTATATTCATACTATTGCTACTGTTACTAGAAGATAATGTCAACTCTATATCACACTTTCCACTCTCGCTGGCTATATTAATTGTTAATACATCCTCATCATTACAGTACTTTAAACTATCCTGAGTGCCATTATTGAGACTGGAATCGGTTTGGGTATTAGGTGCATCTGGAAATGTTGCCCAATTTTCCTCAGGTTCCGAGGCTAGAGGTGATATGCAATGTTTTTGTGATCTAAAGTACACATATTTTGGAGATCCAGGATTTTCTATATAAAGATTAGAGGTTGTAGATATCTTTGGTGATGTTGCTGGTGATATTGTTGGTGGGATTAAAACCCGCTTAGGAGAACTAGGTATTTGTCCTGCATGATCCACGAGTAAAGCTGATCTTGTGTGGCTAAAAAGAAGTTCCTCAGTACATATATCTTCAGAATCTTTTCTCGATCGTCTAGGACTTTTAAGTTTTGGAGTAAATTCATCTGCAGGTAAAACTATCTTGAGTTTTTCTACACCTTTGGACTCACCTGTTGTAGGAGAAAACTCTGGAGAACTTAAAATATATTCTTCTAAAGTCACAACATTTATTGGTGTGGTACTTCGGGGACGTGCAATAGGCGATGTTGTCACTTGTAATCGTTGTAGTCTTTTTTCATAGGCTTTGCGTTTTGATGGCGATTTTATTTGACTAGGATCAATCAAGATAGGAGAGAGTGTTACTGAATCAGCACTTTTATCTTTAATGTCTTTTCCATTAACATTATTCGGTGTAGTTTTCTCATGACGAGTCTGTATATTTTCAAAAGTAAAAACATCGGAATCAGATGAACTCGAAGAATCTTTTCTCTTTTTTTTAAATTTATCAGATATGTTGGCATCCAATTTTAAAACAATTGCCGGGTCTTTCACCACAGTGGGACGTGTTCTTTCCACAATGCTTTGACCTGTTGGGGGTTTGTTATTTACTATTCTAATCCTACTGACTTTGGCTGTGGCTGTTACGTGCTCTATTTCCTCAGGTTCATTAGTTGGCGTGCTGGTTCCACTATCACTTTCAGAAAAACTGGTATTACCTGCATCAATATGTTTTTGGCAATGATCTACTTTCACACTTGATTGAACACTGGCTTCAGATGACTGACTACAACTGCGATAAGATCTGTCATCACAATATGTCGTATGATGTATACTGGATTCATCATCTGATCCCAAGTCAATTGTGTCAAAAGTTGCTAATGGGGCCTTGACAATTTCGAACTTGAAAAAGTCCTTTTGGCACTTGGAATATTTTTGCATAGCAGGCAGATCATTGGACAACAAGTTCTAAGGTCTCACAGAATAATGTACAATATGCCAGACAGGCTACACAGCTGAAAATAAAATGTTATATCATGGTTAGGAATAATACATGTATGTATCTACATCTCTGGTTGCTGTTACGAGAGACAAACAATTGACAGTTATTTCACTGGTAACTCGAGTCAGGATAAGTAAAGTTTTATGTCCAGCTCATTAGATAACTGACATTGATAAGTCACAATGTATTATGTCTATAGGCTATGAACCTCCAAGGTCCAAATAAGGTCCAAATCAAGCCAACAAACATACAGAATTAGAAATAGAAAAACCGTGTGTTTTAATTTTAGATTAGGGAATCTATTAATATTCTATATTGGCTCAAAATATGCAACAAAGAAGCTTGTTTGAATATTGAGTAAGGAATGCCATGTATGTGTGATATTATGTCAGAGACACATATTGTAACAAGTATAAATTCTAACCTGGAAACATTGAATCATGATCATCATGATGCAACTCGAGACGAAATGACAGCACTCAACAACAGGCCAGAGTTTGGAAACTAAGAGACATTGAACGAACCATGCAAAATCAGCCGCTTGAATATCGATCAATGAATCAGTCCAGGAATGGTTGAGTTCCATGAGAGGGAGGAATCGTAATATTTGAAAGCGTGCAACTACTGGGGTAATTATTGATCAGATACTACCTCGCACTTGCCCGACAGAGGCCGCCATATTTGTTTACGGATGTGACGTAACGCAGGAGATATTTATTTTTAGACGGTTCTAGCTGGTCACCAAGGTAAACTACTACCAGTCCGTGTTGACAATAATACGTTGATTGACACCATCCACTTAGCCAAAAGAAAAAAAATGACAGCTACACAGGTAGACGATTAAGATTGTGTGAAATGTAAAGATTGCCGTTTTAAAGTAGTTGACAAACGTTGTCTGTTACATTCTTTGTACACTACAGTAGTACAGTAGTTAACACTACAGGAGTCTACAAAGTAGACATCACACAAAAACGTGTGATTATACAACGATAATAATATTATTTATATTTTGTACCGGTCCAAATTTATAAAATCAATAGTGACAATGATAATAATATCATTTATATTTAGTGAAATGAAATGAAATGGGGTTTAACGTCCTACTATTCTGCTCCTAATTAACCTGGGCTAATAAGACGGATATTTGCCATACAGTGTGCTACTCTTATAATACTTATATCGAATTCTGACTGCCAAGGGATCTTTTACGTGCACGCCAATGTGTACACAGGACCTCGGGTTTTCGTCCCATCCGAACGACTAGACAGCTGTCCTTGTCAGGCCCTCCGTCCTGCATCACTGACATTTGACAAGGGGAAACCACGCCGGAAAATCGGGATGAACTTTCTCGGCCAATGCAGGGATCGAACACCCGACCTCCAGGCTAGCGAGCCAGCGATACCAACTTAGCCACGTGATCCCCAGTTTATATTTAGTACCGGTGCATATTAATAAGGTCAAATATTGTTTGATGATCTATGCATTATTTAATATCTTTATTAAACGGGCTTGTTTCACTTTATTTGAGCTGTATTTACCATAATACAGAATGATTTTATTAATTTGCACCGGTACTTTATATTTAGTACCGGTGCATATTAATAAAATCATTCTGTATTATGGTACATATACAAAATGAAATGAAATGAAATGGGGTTTAACGTCCTACTGTTCTGCTCCTAACCTGGGCTAATGAAGACGGGCATACGCCATACAGTGTGCTATGAGGGAAATTTTGCCCGGGCAGCGGCACTACGGCCTACTCTTATATCGAATTCCAACTGCCAAGGGATCTTTTACGTGCACGCCAATGTGTACACGGGGGTACATATACAGCTCAAATAAAGTGAAACAAGCCGGTTTAATAAAGATATTAAATAATGCATAGATCATCAAAATATTTGACCTAAAAAAGGATAAAAGCTAGTTAATATCAAGGTGGGGTGAATTTTAACTTAGATCTTTATATTTTAACGGTCGTCATCATTTGTATTATATTATTTATAATCGTCTCCTTTAGACATATATTTATTCACATGATTTCTGTTTAACAAGCTGGGTATTGTAGATAAACCCATTATTTTGGGTGAGGGGCTATTGATTTCTCGTCAACCAGCGTAAGTAAATAAATCCATTATTTTTGGCGAGGGGTCATAGGCAATAGGCAATCGAAGAAACTAAGAAAAAAATGCACAAATAATATATTCAAGACAAATCAAAATGTCAAATAAATGATTCAATGTCCATATTGCTTCTTCAAATTCCTCTATCAGCATCTAATTAACTTAAATCTCTTAATTCAGCATGACAAATTTTAATGACAAAGTTATCATCAAATGCTAATTAAATCAACCATTAAATGAAGAATATTTTTGAGAATACAAAGAACTGAACTATTAGCCTACATCATATTTTCAGGAATACAGATTAATATTTTGATAAATCCAGATGCTTCTAATAGATAACATGGCTACAAAGAAAAGCAGTAACCGACGACCAGACAGCAGTCGTAGTCCGAAAAGTAAAACAACAGTTTCTTTATCTCAACATGCAGAAGTTGTTAAAGACAACAGTCATCTTAAGAAAACCATTGATATGCTTAAAGCTGAAAATCAAGCAATGAAACACAAGTTAGACAGAGTGATAGAAAGATTAGTTAGTAATGTGGATGAAGACGATTATGATTTTAGTTCTTGTGTCAGTTATTTAGATATTTCCTTGGAAGATATGCTAGCCATGATATCTGACATAACTTCCACAAAAGATTCAGATCGACAAGAACATTATTTGGAGACCAGAATTGAAGAGGTTGAGACTAGAATTACACAAATCAGTACTGAATTTGCTAAATTAGTGCAGCTCAAGCTTCGCATGGAAAATGGATTAAATGAAATAAAAAGCTGTCAAAGAATTGATGAGATAAAACAAATAGCTGCATCATTGTCTTATGATTCAGGTAATTAAAAACTTAATTGTCCACTGCCTTTCGAAGAAAGCAGGGGACTATTAAAATGGGTTCGTCTATCTATCCATCTGTCTGTCTGTCAGTCCGTCACACTTTTTGGGACACAATAATTCTCCTTCTAATTGAGCTAAAATGTTCAAACTTAGTGTAGGTGTTGAATAGGTTGATGCCTTGATCATAGCTGCCCCCCTAACTTTCGGGCAAGCTGACTTTTCGGGCAGACGAGTTGGTGTGTGTGTGTGTGTGTGTGTGTGGGGGGGGGGGGGTCCATACAAGGTCAGCTCCGCTTCTTCGCCTCTCAAAAAAAACCGGCGCCGCTGTCTGTAAACCTGAAATTTTTGGGGCATTTCTAGTTTTGCTTCCCTAACTGTCATCGAGCCCTAATAAAACAATAATTTTACTTTTATTTTAATTGAATACCACGAATTTGTACTGAGTTGACTATGGATTAAAACATTTTGTCTGGAGCCACTCTACTTTGTGCGACATTTTTCAGGCATCGATTATTATTGTGAATGCAGCTGCAACAGTCTGATTGGATGCTTGGAATTCAGAATGGGATTTGGGTTACAAAACCATTGGATACTTTGGGAGTTGCTTACACGGGCTAAAGTAGCAGAAAACGCATTTGCGGTGGTTCAATTTTCAAAATTTTCTCCCAACGATCCCGTCTCCGTGGACTGTAAACGATTGATCTTTTGATTGGAATTTGAGCCAGCTATCTTAATTAGCCCACTTTGAAGTTGCTTTGTTCACGGGCTGAAATAGCAGGAAAACGTGTTTGCAGCCGTCAGATATTCCCAAATTTTCTTGCGGAGGGGGGGGGGATCCACACAAGGTAAGCTCCGATTCTTCGCCTCTCGAGGAAGACTGCGCCGCTCTGTCTGTAAACCCGAAATTTTTTCGGGCAATTCAGGTTCCTGCCCCCCTAACTGTCATCTAGCCCGTACGCCTATGGCCTTGATGGAGTTTGAAGATGAGCATTTTCTGCTTAGGGTAAGCAGAGATAAGCAATTTGATTGGTTAATGCTTTGGGACACAATAACTTTAGTTCTGATTAAGTGAGAGTGATCAAACTTGTTGTATAATTTCATTACATTAATACCTTGACTGAGTTCGATAATGAACATTTTCTGCTCATGATAAGCAGAGCGATAAACAATTTGATTGGTCGAGACTTTGGAACACAATAACTCTCCTTCTAATTCAGCAATAAGGTTCACACTAGGTGTAGGTGATTGGTGAATGCCTTAATGGAGTTCAAAGATGAGAATATTCTGCTAAGGGTAAGCAGAGATAAGCAATTTGATTGGTTGATACTTTGGGACACGATAACTTTAGTTCTAATTAAGTGAGTGTGATGAAACTTGGTGTATAGTTTCATCACATCAATACCTTGACTGAGTTCGATAATGAACATTTTCTGCTGGGGGTAAGCAGAGCAACATTCAATTTGATTGGTCGAGACCTTGAAACACAATACCCCTCCTTTCTGATTGTGGTAGAATGCTCAGTCTTGGTGTAGGCGTACATTGGGTGAATGCCTTGATAGAGTTCGATGATGAAAATTGTCTGTTCTCGGTAAGCAGAGATAAGCAATTTGATTGGTTGATGCTTTTGGGCACAATATCTCTGGTTATAATTAAGTGTTAGCTATGAAACTCTGAGTATATGAGAGTGATGAAACTTAGTGTTTAGTTGATAATCAGTTTGATTGCTCGATACTTTTTGAAAAAGGTAAACGTGCAATTAATTAATATGTGTCATCTATTTATTTCGGGATTTCTGAGGGGGACATCAGCCTCACTGTTGGCTTGTAAAATATTAATTATTTATTGGAAAATGTCATAATTAATTTCAATGAAATAACATTAAAATTTAATTGAAATGAGATATAGGAAATATAAATGAGCAGTTATTGATCCTGTTGCCCTACTAAATATGATGTCAGTTGCACAGGCCGAAAGTTATGGATCCATTTGCCCAGGCTTAATGTTATTATATGCCTGATTAGTGCCAGTGGCCTGACAATTATAGGAGATTATAGTCTTGCAGATTCTTTTTTTAGTCATTGTCTAATATTGAAATAATGCCCACAGTAAAGAACCCAAAGTACTGTTAAAGTAGCTAAGTCTCTAACTCAATATCATCCAAAATCTTCAACATTGAAAACACAAATTATTTGTCAATTTAAATCAACATTGATGCTGTGATCTTACCGGAAAAAGATGGGCTTCTGATATCCAATATTTAAGACAAAATAAACATTTTACCATTGGTACACGAATCGTGGACCATAATGCGTTTCAGCCCCAGTTCTAGCAAGAGACTCGAGGAACGAGGCTAGACATATTGCACCAAACCAAACGGCGTATGTAGACTGGAATAACCAGGCACTAGAAATTTCTAGGTCCCAAATGTTAGCGATTTAGCTCCTTTAATTTGCCTTTAATTAACAAATTATGACCCTGACTATGTGCTTTGGTGTTCTTTTGGTGTATCAGGTTAAGTTTTTAATAATGCCTCAAAATTTATTCTGTTTTTATTCAGCCAGAACACAGATATTTATTCAGCCTATTGCAGAAAAAGCTAAGAAACCAAAAAATAAAATGAAACTACTGTCTGATGAGGTACAAGGGGAAAATATTCAAATACAAATACCGACATCTGATTCTAGACCAACTAGTGCAAATGGTATACCAATGTCTGTAGCTTGTAATTTAGAAGTAGTGGAAATTCCAAAGGTAAGTTAAGAAACATAAACAGTAAAGACTTTAATATCAATTCCATTCCCAATGCAAATTGTTTAATAAGCGTTGAAATATATTTCGTTTAAAAAATGTGACAATTAACTAAATGTGAGATTTTAATTCATACCATTTTCTTAAATAAACAGTTGAAACAATCCACCGATGGAATGCATCAAATCGATCAGTATCTTGTGAATCAGTCAAGTCATAAATGTACTACAGGTGGGAAGGTTTGGGTGGGCAAAATACTGGTGTTTTATGTTGCCCCTTGTGTTGGACTGTTGGCATCAAAGAGATTTGATCAGATTACACACAAAAAAACTGTAAATTAAATATTTCGAAAATTTTTAAAGAAATGTATTTACTGTGTGGGCAGATTTCTTCTTCACACGATCAAAAATCGCCTATTTTGTCTTTATGTTGATTTATATTACAGGCTGATGTAAAATTACCTGGTGATACTCATATTAAGGATATGATACCAGAATTGAAACAGTTAATAATACAAGAACTTAGTCTATATAAGGGCAATGGTTTGTATATACATGTAATCTAATTAAAATAAGTACTTAATTACATTTGAACTTTTAGTTTAATTTTTAAACCATTACTTGAACACTCACTTCAATATTATTTTTTTGTCCCCCGCCTTTCGAAGAAAGCAGGGGACTATTAAAATGGGTCTGTCCATCCGTCTCTGTTTGTCTAGCTGATATGTCTGTCCGTCACACTTTTTGGGACAACTCTCCTTCTAATTGAGCTAGAGTGTTCAAACTTGGTGTAGGTGTTTATAAATGAATTCCTTGATGGAGTTCGAAATGAGCATTTTCTGCTTAGACTAAGTGTGTCGCGAAATTTTAAACGGCACACTTAAGAAAATTTCTCACTAAAGAAGCCAGCTATTTAATTGATGAATTTCGAAACACTGCAAAAAGTAAGTTCTGCTGTGTTGTCTTTATTTAGATTGAGTGATTCTGTGTGTCTATGACTAGTTTGTGTCTACGGTTGTATGCTGTCTATGACTTGCCAAGTTTTTATTTGTAAAATTCAAATATTTTTCATATATATTTAGCCAGGTGTGCCGCTATATTTTTCATGTGTTCCAAAGTGGGCTGTTGGCAAAAAAGGGGTTGAGAACCACTGGCCTAAGCAGAAATAAGCAATTTGATTGGTTGATGCTTTGGGACACGATAACTCTGGTTCTAATTAAGTGAGAGTGTTGAAACTTAGTGTATAGCTTCGTTATATCAATACCTTGATTAAGTTTGACAATGAGCATTTTCTGCTCAGGATAAGCAATTTGATTGGTCAAGACTTTGGAGCTCAATAACTTTGATTCTAATAAAGTGAGAGTGGTGAAACTTTGTGTATAGTTTTATTCCACCAGTACCTTGACTAAGTTCGATGATGAGCATTTTCTGCTTTGACTGTAAGTAGAGACTTCAATCTGATTGGTCGAGACTTTGGAACATGATACCTCTTCTTCCATTTGAGGTAGAATGTTCAAACTTGGTATAGGTGTTTATTAGGTTCGATCGGGTGCATTATCCATGCGCTAAGCAGAGATAAGCAATTTGATTGGTTGAGACTTTGGAACACAATAACTTTGGTTCTAATTGGGTAAGAGTGATGAAACTCAGAGTATAGATTCATTAAATCAATACGTCCTTGACTAAATTCGGTGATGAAAATTTTCTTCTTCGGTTTAATGGCGATAAGCAATTTAATTGGTCAAGACTTGGGAACATAGCAACTTTGCTTTTAATTGATCAGGTAGAATGTTTAAACTTGGTGTAGATGTTCATAAGGTGAATGTTCAATCATTAACATTTTCTGCTAAAGCTAAACAGAGCTAAGCTATTTTATTGGTCGATGCTTTGGGATAAGATAACTTTTATTCATTTACTGATGGAGAGTGATGAAACTTAGTGTATAGTTTCACTACCAGGTACTTCAAAACCTTGACTGAGTTCAATCTTGAATATTTTCTGCTTAGACCAAATATAGATCATCCGTTTGCTTGATGCCTTTCAAAAATATAATTGTTCAATTTAATTAATATGTGTCATTTATTTATTTGGGATTGTGGTAGGGGACATCAGCCTCACTGTGGGCTTGTTTGATTCAAGTTACATGTATCTTGCTATTAATTATTTTTTGTTTAAAAGATCATAGCAATTCCCAATCACAATATTGTCAGAGCATTTTGGGTGGTCGAGTGGTACAGTTTCGATCCCAGCACTTGTATGTGACAAGGAGTAGGGTCCCCTGTCCAACCTCATGGGTTTTCAACGGGTCCTCTTGTTTCCTCCCACTGCTAAAGACCCCTACGCCTCATTTCATTTCATTTCCCTAATGCTTCCAATCATTTAATAGGTGGTGACTGGCGGATGTTTGCTGAAAGAGTAGGTATACCAAATCAACTTATAGACCAATGGAAAATCATGAAAATTAGTCAACCTATGAAAAACGTCTTATTTGTTTGGAGTGACAGTCCTGGTGCAACTGTTCGATTGTTACATCGACATTTAGTTTCACCCCAATTGAAGTGTATTTTATTGGCTAAAAGAATTACCAACTATTATACTGTGGACTGAATTACTTAAAAAGTTTCATAAATGTATTAATATTAAATGCATTGCAGTGAACTGGTCTTAAATTATATGCAATATGTTTTAAAATGTGGACTTAAAGAATTTGTCACATATCGTCGGTGAAGTGTCAAAAGGGTGTATCTCGGGGAATTAGTCAAATACACTTTTTTGCATTTTTAAAATCTCCCAATTAATATGCTCATTTCTGTCTAAGCTGTGTATCATGTGTCCAAATGTTGTATCTTTATTTGTGGAAATTTTGAAATGCAAAAGGTTCTATTTCTTAATCTTTAGAAATTCTTAGATACACCCTTTTGACACTTCACCGACGATATATTGTTTTGTTTATTTTCCCAGTGATAGTACTAGCAACATTTCTAAATATTCCACAGTAGATAGATATAGTGCTAATAGGTATGCTTTTGTAACATATTAATGCAAATCTACCTATGTTTAATTATTATCTTCATTCCACTATAAAAGTGATCAGAATTGCAGAAATACTTCATTTGATTTTTACCTTGTATTCAGCTAACCCCTAGCTATTTATATCAACCTTACCTCTCCAAAACTTACTCCTTTTACACAGTATTTTTTATACTTTTTGTGCTTTTCATATTCTTTATTTTTGAGAATTTATTCCTAATCTATTTTCTTGCCAAAATACATAAAGACCATTTATTACCTCTGAAATATTATTTCCTTTTTCCCTAATCTCTATCCATTTTCCTTATTAATTCTTTATGTAATGAAGAATATCATATTTTATTTTTTTTTACAAATCTTTTCCTTCCTTATGTCTGTATATGTATGTGTTTAAAACAATACAGCTATTATTTTACAACTATATAATGTTAACATGTTTTTAAAAATATTATTTTTTTTATGTTCCATAATTGAGTCACTGATCATGAAAAATATTGATTTAGAAAAACTATTCGTATATCAAACTGTAAACTAACATTATGTAATAAATTATCAGATATCATTATTGCCAAATTTGTTTATCAAAAGAAATTTCCCCTTGAGAGTTTCCATGTACAAAAGGGGGATTATTTTGGTGAACATGTTTAAGTCTTGCTGTTGCTCCTAGAGTGTAAAATCAATTATGTCTAGTCTTGGTGGCATCATCACACTGTATCAAACAAATCCTCCAGTATATGCAGCTGTACATTTATGTTAAATCTTCAGATTAAACCATCCATGCACCAACTTTCAAATCGTATCCAAGGTGATAACTGGTGTTATGTTTAGATATGGAAGATGTAATTTCCAAAGGGGATTATGAACACAAAATTTTTAAATTAAATATTATAAGTTGTCTCCCTGTTATCCAACTCCTTCCCTGTACAGAGCCAGATCAATTTAAGTCTGGTTTGATACAGAGCACTGCTGCTCTTTCCCAGTATTTTCGACCTGTAGATTTTCATGAGAGGTTGTGAGGATTGATGCCCTGCAACACCAGCCTCCACTACCGCACCACAACGTCAAAAATTATGTGTGGCAGAATCAACTAGTTTCGGGCCAAAAATTGAATAAAAACATAATGAACTCCCATAATTTTGCGGACAGAGTCACTCTTACTTAGGATAAAAATTATATACAGTTTTAGTCAAATTTCACGTGAAATTAGGCGTTCTACTTATGGAATTGCAGTTCAATCAAATCAGGAATCTGGAAATAATTTCGGACAGCAGACAGCTTTTCTGAAAGGGCTATTTTCCATTAATCGCCCCAGTACAGTGCAGAAAAGTAGGACTTAAATCTATTTCAGTTCATTCTTGAAAAGTGGTACTGACAAGAGGAAGTAGTCTGTTGGTCACAAGCAAACCAGCTAGTGGTCTGGAACAGGATTCAGTGAACAAAGCCTGTGAAATGTTTGTTTTGGTATACAATTTTAGTGATTAAGATGTTTATAAAGGATAAATTTTGGTAATGCAGTTGTTTGAGTTACCTCTAATTATGATACCGGCATATGGAGTAAAAAGCAAATAGGCCTACAGTTAGTGCTGCAAAAGTTATAATAGGGATAATTGAATACATAGGATAGGCAGCAAGATTAACTGAAATGTCTCATGAAGGAATCCATTATCATCTTTTACATTGTCTATAATGTCCCAATTTAAAATAATGGGAAAGTAGTTTATAGCTATTTAGAGGGTGTACACACTATAAAGATATACCTATAAATAAAATAAATATATAATATAAATATAATTCATATTATTTTTGTAGTGGTTAGAGAGAAATCTGTATTCTAACTTTCTAATAGTAAGTGCAGGGGGACTGCACCACACATAATTTACACAAAAACAAATATACGGACAAGACATTTACACAGAACTTACAAACAAATGCACAATTCAAATAAAGTGAATAGACCCGGGGGCTAGCCATAAGCGTCCACTGCACTGTACAGTCCCGGGCCTGTAGTGACACAGACTTCACTCAAATTTGAAAACAATCAGAAATAAAACCCAGAGAAACCATTGTGTAATGCCATCATGAGTTGATGATCTGCTATATGTTACAAGAAATATGAATATATGTAAGCATATTGTTGTAAAATTATACTATACAAGTAACCACATAGGTAAAATGTATAAAAAAAACAGGTAGTCTAAAACTAAATGTTCTAAGTCAATTAAAAAACTAATGAACCTTAAGTGGGCGGTAGCACGATTTACCCCAACCACTCAAAATCTACCCAAATCCACCATAATAATATTATATAATAATATAGTAATAATTTATATATTAGATAATATAGATCTACTGTTTTTTATGCCATTGGCATTTTAAATTTTTAATTTACATCCGTAATGTTTTTTGTATATGATTATGATGTTAAATATGTAGGCATATATGTTTATGTCCCTAAAATAATGGTGAATTTGGTTATAGAACTGTCAAAATTGCTTGGAAATGGCATTTTGGGGAATTTGGCATAAAGAACAGTATATTATCAAATATAGATATAAATTATTATTATATGAGTTGAAATAAACGTGTATTTGGGTAAAACGTGCTACGCACCTTATGTGCTCCATGGGTTGCCTACATTAACATACACAACTGCCGGCCCCTACTATACGCTACGGTAGGTCTACCCCCATGACATATATATTGTGAAAAATGATCATAATGAAATGAAACATGTTTTCTTTTTTAAAAGACATGGTTAAATCATTTGCTAAGATTTTGTGAGAGAGTGATAATTTGTTTTGCTCTACTATTGCGGCGCAAATATTTTTAATGCAAAAGCTGTGTCAAGGGAGGTTACTCTCAGCACGCGATTGTTAAAAGAATTTTTTTATTACATGTCTTACTGTGTTTCTGGTTACTTACTTACTGTTGGAAGGCTAGGCTAATGAACTATGGTTTGAATAATAAAGGTAATTATATATTAATATTAATGTACGAAAACGTTCTTTGTATATACTCATTTGTACATAGTGTTTTCTGTGTGTGGGCTGATGGAAGAAAATAATTGCGTCTTGAACTTGAACGTCTGTAGCCAAGCAAGAGTTTGGTGTGAATACGTCATGTCATGCACTGCAAAATACATGTAACAAGGGTAGATATCTCCCAACTTGGTTTAGTTGTATTAATAAGAGTCCTGCGGATATAGGCTACATGTATATTTATGTAGTAGGTCCCGTACGCGTAATATGGAAACATCTGGTGAGGCAAGTGCATAATTAGTTTAAAATTATTAGGCCTTGACACTGACAGAAGTTGCCGAAGTGGGAGCAGACGGACTTCATGTACTCAAATAGAATTGCCTTAATTTCTATTACTGACAATGCCCATCACTGGAGGTATATATGTGAATGGCTGCATAATAATCTTTGGATTTTTTGTAATTCATTTCTATGTAATTAGCTTACTACAGTACTGGTACAGAAACTAGGGAGGTGTGTGTGATTGTGGTGTCCATATTTTCTACATTACAGGTATTTGCATTGAGCTGTACAGAGGAAATGAAGACACAACAGATTTATTATAATTACAAGATTATTTTTCAAGAAAATAGTTTACTTTATAGAGATACCAGACAACATTAGCTTGGCTATATGAGTGATCATATCAGATTTGGTTGTGCAATTGAATTCACAAATGATTGTACCGGTATGCCTAGATTGCTAAAGGAAAGGAAACATGTACCATTACCATAATTTGTCCAAGCCCTGTGTTCAGTGGATGTTAAACATTATTTCTCAGTTTTAGGTAGAAATACATGGGCATGTATGCATATAGGACTAACCCTGTTGCTTTTCTCTGGCTTCTGACTAAATGGCTAATATAAACGCTGTGTTGTGTTGAATAGGTTCTTCTAGTCCAGTGATTCTCAACCTGTATGCCGCGGCACACAGGTGAGCCGCGAGATCTTCATAAGTGTGCCACGAAATTTTGAAAGACACACTAAGAAAATGCGAAAAACGATGTGATCCCAATTGAGTATTCACTGTGTTTTTCTTCATTTAGTTTGAGTCATTGTATGCTGTAATGTTTTTATTTTGCAAAATTGATATATTTTTCATATCTATTTAGCCAGGTATGCCGCTATTTTTTCATGTGTTCCAAGGTGTGCCATTGGCAAAAAAAGGTTGAGAACCACTGTTCTAGTCTCTTCTTTCTTTGTTTTTCTTTCCTTCCTTCCTTGAAGGACAAAAGGATTTGATACTACCTATACATTTAAATTGTTCTCTTCCCAATCTAATTATTGACTTATTTTTACAGGTAATGACACTGATTGAAATTCAACCAGGAAAATTTAAGAGAATTTGGCATTGAGGATGAAAGGTATCACCAAGGGAATTGTATTTATTTTATTGTTGTTTTTAACCAGTTTTTTTGGTTCAGTGGTTTTCTTATTCCCATTTCTTCCCTTGCTATGTTTCCGACTGACAGAAAAAACAGGGAAATGGATTATGGAAAAATTCATTTTTATGTGGAAGCTGTTTGCAGTGGTGAGTCATAATTTATTTATTATTTGTTGAATAAGAAAAATGTTAGACATTGTAGACTGAAAGCTACTAGTCCATGTAAACTGTAAAATATTAATATTTATTTTAATTTTAATGTCTAAACTTGGTTTAAGTGAGTGAAATTTGACATACTATAGTTTAAATGTCACCACAAAGTCTTATTTCAGATGAACATTGTCAATATCACAGTATATTACAGGGTTCCCGCGGTCCTTGAAAATCCTTGAATATCCTTAAATTTAAAATTTCATTTTCAAGGTCTTGAATATCCTTGAATTTTGCAGAAATAGGAAAATATCCTTGAATTTCAGTTGAGATCCTTAATTTTGTTTCAAATGTCTTCAATTCCTTTTAAATATGAGATTATAACGATAGTTGGTAATGTTTTGGTTATTTTTAAGATGAAAAATTGTAACTTTAGGCTAAAAAATGTCCTTGAAAATCCTTGAATTTGACGTATATTTATCCTTGAATATTCTTGAAAAAATGTTTGACGAAGCCGCGGGAACCCTGTATTACAGGCGCACATGAAAGAATCCTTGGCAGTTGGAATTCCAACTAATAGTAGACTAAGTACCACTTTCCCGGCAAAATTTCCACCAGAGCACACTGCATGGGGTATGCTATGGGTAGTTCCTTTAGGAACTGTCTGTGATCGGATGATGTCTGCTGACAGTTCCTATCGCTTTCTATATATATACCTGCAATATGAAAATACGGTAAAATACTGCTCTTCCGCTACCTCGGTTCTTAGGCTATTTTGGAACCCTTACCTTCTATTTTTCACCGTGAATGTTTATTTTTCGCAAAAGGAATCATTTCTCGTCATACCTGACACAAATTTATAATAATTCAACACTTTGTTCAAGTAGAATGACTGGTCAGTTCAAACGTATTTGGTGTATGTTTTTAATTGCAAAATTCTGCTTGAAAATAGTGTTGAATTATTATAAATGTGTTTCAGCTGTGGTAAGAAATGAGATGGCGGTATTTTCATATTGTAGCTATATAGAAATTGATAGGAACTGTCAGTGGACATCGATCAGAGACAGTTCCTAAAGGAACTATGCTATGGGGTATGTTTGTCTTCATTAACCCTGTTGATACAGAAAAGTAAAATGTTAAACCCAATTTTATTCTATATATATTATAGGCTTTATATGAAGTAATGATTGGAATAAAGATAAAAGTAGTGGGAGAGAAATTACTAGATACACATCAAAATCTTCTTCTTATAATGAATCATAGAACAAGATTAGATTGGTTATTTTTAATGTCTTATCAGATCAGACATGCATCTTTACAACAATACGTCATTTCACTTAAAGCTCTTCTAAAAAAAATACCAGGCCCAGGTAAGTGGCAGAACAATTTACTCTGTACTACCCAACACCACCCAATACATGTACCACCCAGTAAATAATACTTCATTATGAACAAGTTGTTGCCATGCAAGAGATGGACAGAAAACAAGCTATAAAAAAAGCGATTTTTCGTACAATCAGGGGACATAATCCAGGAAGTTATGAAAAGGAATCGGAATCTCTGGGATATAAACATATAGACTAGGGTCCACAACCTTGGTATCACATACTTTTACACTATTTGTGCTCAAGGAGCAGCTAATTTATCAGGCAGTTTTGGTCCGATTTTTACGAAATTTGAACTCCCATCATCATCACTGTGTAAAGGTTCCACAAGGTAAAATCGTGAATATCGACAGAAACCAAGATCATTGAGTTTTAAACATACATTTCAAGTTCCATCTAAATCGGAAAAAAATTGTGACCTCTAGAGTGTCCACAAGCTAAAAACTTGATTTTTCGCACAATCAGGAGCCATAATCTATTAAGTTTCGATTCGATACATGCCAATATCGAAAGGAACCGAGATATTTTGGAGATAAACCTATATTTCAAGTTTCATCAAAATCAGATAAGAATTGTGACCTGTAGAGTGTCCCAAATAAATCGTGGACGGACGGGCAGGGGCGGCGGCAATATACGTCCACATGAAAATTTGGGTGTATAAAAACTGAAAATAAACTTGAATCATTTCAATAATAATGAATTGATTAAGGAAAATTTATATCATATATTGAGGTCAGTCATAGCAATCGTGTTGATCCTATCAAAACGTATCTGCACCTACATGTATCAGACCGTGGTGGACTCAATAGGGACAAACCTAGCATTAAGAGCCAGCTAGAGTTGCTATTGAAATTAATTCACCTAAAGATATTACACTAGTTTTTTTTTCTACATTTATAAAATGCAAACGGTTATATCTTGATTTAATGTAAGCATCATTTTTTAGGCTGGGCAATGCAGTGTGGTGCTTTCCTGTTTCTTCAAAGAAAATGGGAGACTGACAGTGCATGGATTACAAAATGTGTTGAATATTTTCACAGGGTAGGACATAAACCACAGGTACAGTCACATTTATTCTATCATCATGTCAATTTCTGATATTATACAGAATACTAGTGTCCTTGGTTGTTTCCACAAAAGACAGGTTTCATATTTTGTTACATAAATAACAGTAAAATGTAAGACACAATAACAGAACACAATGATATCAGTTCTTCATCTCTGAAGAAGTCTGTAATTTTATTTACAAAATGGTGTATATACTCTGTCCATACAAAATTTCCCATCATAGCACACTGCATGATGTAATGCTGTCTTCATTAGCTCTATTGGTGCAGAAAAGTAGGATGTTTAACTCTTGATCAGATTTTAGTGTCTTGTGAATGCTCTCATTACTTTCAAAATGTGACAACCTCAGTGGACTTCTCAGATGACCTACCTGTAGCTGCTCTGGGCTTATGTTTCATTGTCAGGTAAAATCAGGTTGATGTCTTTTAAATATGCAACTTGCGGTAGTTTTTTCTTTGATGTGCATAGATGTTATATCTTATATCAACCTGTCATGACGTCATCATAGGTTGATATATGACGTCATCTCAGGTTGATATACCGGTATTTGTTTCATATCAACCGCTGATGACGTTGATGAAATAATACAAAAAACACAGAAATCAATTTTTATTCTTTTGACAATTACAATTAATATTCATGGTACAGTTTGAAGAGGTTGGTACCGAAACTGGCATATTTAGTTTGGTATCTATAAGGTGGCGATAAGGTAGCTTGATAGAAACATGCACGACTTCGTCAATTTTCATTATTTGGCAGAAATTATTGAGCAATTATGCATTCATTGTTGCCTTTTAAAGGAAGAGTCCATTTAATTAAGGGTGATTAAAACTATGACGTTGTATATATCAGATATAAACCTTCTCTCCATGGGATTGATATGATAGAGAACACTTGGGCTGTGCCGCATGTTCTCTATCATATGAACCTCGGGTAGGTTAATATCCTATACATGCTCCCATGACGAACAAAAGGTTAAATATATGTGACGGTCTTTGTGGACTGCTTAGACGATTAAATGTTTTGAGCATCTTTTGTTACCTGCCAACCAATCTTTCCATTTTCAGTTGTTATTTTTTCCCGAAGGAACAGATTTAACAAAACAGACCAAAGAGAGAAGTGATGTATTTGCCGAGAAAAATGGTTTACAAAAATACAGTTTTGTTCTTCATCCTAGGACAACTGGTTTTATTCATATGATCAGTCAAATGAGAAAAAGTATGTTTTTTAAATCCAATTTTTGATACTCTTAACAATTAACAATACTCTATTTTTTTTTTTTTTTTTTTTTTACTTAATTCAGATAAATTGGTACAACACATTATTGTTAAGTCTAGATCTGTTTTAAATTTTAAATACTGCTAGCTCGATTGCGCCTAGTCCTAATTGAGTGAGAGTTTCATTACATCGATGATGAGCATTTTCTACTTACTCTAAGTGGTGATAAGTAATTTGATTGGTCAAGATTTTGGAACACATTAACTCTAGAATTTTTCAAACTTGGTGTAGATATTCATTAGGTGAATGTCTTGACTGAGTTCGATGATTAGCATAAGACTAAGCTGAGATAAGCAATTTGATTGGTCGATCCTTTGGGCCATGATAACTTGATGAAACTAGGTGTATGGTCTTCCTACAATAAAATCTTGACTAGTTCAATCATGAGCATTTTCTGCTAAGGCTACCTTTGATTGTTCAATGCTTTACAAAAAGATAAATGTGTTATTAATTACAGCGAAATTGTGGAGGATTAGATAAAGAGTTGACAGTTCACGCTATACTAGTTTAAAAAAAAAAAGTATAATGTAAAAGGAATATGCTCAAAATTTCAGTTAAACTACTTCACTTTGAGTGGAGAAATCCTGATTTTGATAACACTGTAGACTCGCTTTTCATTGTTACTGTTGTTAAGATAATAAAGAAAGTCTTGATTATCCCTTTTCAACGGTTAATCACCACCCGCCGTTAAACTACAAATGGGACTTAAATCTGTTGAAATTCAAACTCATCAGATAGCATAGAGAGTTGATTAAGGTCTATTCATGTAACATCATTTTAATAAATGTCTAATTAATAGTTTATAATGCCTGTTTAATATATGTCATCTATTTATTTTGGGATTGAGGTGGGGAACAGCAGCTTCACTGTTGGCTGAACCTGTTTTTAGATAAAATGTTATAAAAAGAGGTACATGTATACAGAAATAGTACAATGTAGATATTTTGGGGGAATGAGTTGAACTTAAAATTCATTTTGTCAAATATTTTTGTTTTTAGATAATGTTATAGATGGAATACTGGATGTTACTGTAGCTTATCCTAAGTATATACTACAGAATGAAGGTGATATAATACATGGCAGATTTCCTGAAGAAATTCATTTTAATATTAATTATCATAATATTACTGATATACCTCAAAATACAGAGAAATTGGGTGAATGGTGCCAACAAACATGGCTTGAGAAAGAAAATAAACTTAATTCTTACTATGAAAAGAAACAATTTAATGAAAAAGACCAAGAACTCAAATATGATCATGGTGCTTTAACAAGATATTTATATATGGCCATTTTATTTTGGTCTTTTTTTCTTATTTTTGTTTTTTATTCCTTATTATATGTATGTTTCTTCCGATGGTACTGTTTTATTGCAGTAGTTACATTTATGGTGATTCAAAACACTATAGGAGGGGTTGATAATCTTATGTTTTCCTGAAAATAATGGGTACAATTTACATAAATGTTATCCTGATTTTGAGATTTATTTTATTATAGAATTTTGTTGATATAGTTATTTCTACTCATTCCTTAATGGGGCATTATGTAAGATTTAGTGCTGGGTAATGCCACTGCAGTTACGATACGATACGTATTCCATTTTTAAACTAAATCATTAAAGGACAATATTGGTGTCAGCCATTATCACATATGTGATTGAACTGGTTAAACACTTTCCAAATATAGTTTTAACACAAAGATCATTGCTACGATAGATGCATCATGAAGATTTGAAGAAACGGAAGTGATGAAAGCAAAAGGAAAACACAAGTTATCCTTCTATATAATTGACTGAAGTAACGAGCAATAACAGATACACAGGCGAATTTCTGCTCATTGATAATTTCTTCGAAGACGAAAAGTTGTTACATTATGATCTTGTCATGTTAATAAATGTCCAATTAGTAATTTATATAACATTTAAGACCTGGAATAGGCAGATTATCTCTTATATAATGCCTGTTTAATGTATAGACATTCTTTGCCAAAATAATATGTAGAGTATTATTATAATGTACTTTAACAGCATTGTTTTAACTTATTTAATTAACTCTTTATTAAAAAAATATAGCATTAGGACCAATAATGACTGTCATTTAAATTGTATATTATTGCATTGTGATGGACTTTTTTCTTTTTCTTGAAATTAATATTAACTGAAGGGGGAACAGCATTAATGTATTGAAAGTAATGCCACGTGCAGTATCCACTTTTTAAATTTCTGACTGGGTGGCTACTTTTAATTTGAACAAGAAATAATATACTAGTTTTAACATGGGCCGTATATTAGTTTTAGGCCTACTATCAGATAGTTTACGCCATTGTCATGTTATTAGTCTATTGAATAATTAATTGTTGATTATTAGTTTGATGTTTTGAGGGGTGTTATGTTTGGTGACATTGCAGATTTTGGAACTATTTGATTTGGGTAAAAAATTAAAGAGTTGATTTTGGGTGAAGAATTAAAGTGTTGATTTCGTTAATTTCATATTGAGATATTATAGAATTTGTGTTCAACAGTCGAGGTTTTAAGCTAAAAGTGAAATGAAAACCAACTACCTTCTGTGTAATATTTTGAAATGAAAATTGAGTCCTAAAGATTCTGTTTATCACTAATTGAAATGACACACAGTATTAGCAACACCTTATATAACAGCTGCTAAATATCTCAATATACTCTTTACTGTAATCTTGACCCAAACTTTAATATTCTGTCCTTATTTTTATAATATGTATATTGTTTTGTTTTTCTGTGTGTACAGATTTTAATAAGGCAGGACACTACCTAAGAATTTCACATTGATAACAGAAACTTTGAATTTAGTGTAATATTAGTATATGATGTCCCAAAACAGATTTGATAATTTGACCGTAAAATAGTAATTGGTTGCCATGGAAATGGTAGCCATATTGGATTTTTATACGCCCACATTTTCATGTGGACGTATATTGTTGTCACCCCTGGTCCATCCACAATTTGTTTGTGGACACTCTACGGGTCACAATTTTTATCTGATTTTGATGAAACTTGAAATATAGGTCTATCTCCCAGAGATCTCGGTTCTTTCGATACTGGCATGTATCGGACCATAACTTCATGGATTATGGCCCCTGATTGTACGAAAAATCACGTTTTTAGCTTGTGGACACTCTTAGAGGTCACAATTTTGATCCGATTTTGATGAAACTTGAAATGCATGTTTATAACCTAAAGATCTTGGTTCCTTTTGATAATCACACATATCCGAACGTAACTTCCTGGATTATGGCCCCTGATTGGTTGGAAAATCGCATTTTTAGCTTGTGGATTTCGATTTTAAAAACCATTTAGATATATATCACAATTCCACTATAATGAAGGTTGAATTCGAATTTTGGGAAAATCAAAATGAAAAAAGGTCGCTCTTTGTATGCAAATTGTGTATAAGTATGTAATACAAAGGTTATGGAACTTCTAGAGGTCACAGTTTTTATCTGATTTTGATGAAACTTAAAACATAACTTTATATTCCAAAAATCTCAGTCCCTTTTGATATTTGCGCATTTCTGACCATAACTTTCTGGATTATGGTCCCTGATTGTACAAAAAATCGTTTTTGTTCTTGCAAAATGTTGGCGTATCCTCCCTGGCAGCCTCTGGTTTATATATTCACGGTAGGTATGTTAGGAAATCAAAATCTTCACCAATTTTATTGAAACAAACTATTTGTGATTTGGAATAATATATATATAGACATTAAAGAGTGCAATAAGGTATAAATTTTACTATTTGAGGTTAATAAAGAACATTATGCATCCCAATAAAATGTCCAAATGTATAAGAAACACTTTGAAGATCACCTTCTATTGCTCACAGTAGCTATAGCACTAATGGTATACCAAAGATGAGACCATTATCTCTCATAGATTTTGAGAATTTGATTTTCTAAGATGGGTGAAAAATTGAGTACATAAAAAAGCAAGTTAAAAATTCGATTTATCTACATGTATATTTGTGTGATTAAATTGTCATACTATAGCTAGTGATATTAAAGGATTGCAGAAGCATATTTCTTCTACAAGGAACATTTGACTATTGTCTTCTATTATTGAGCTAATACTACATTCACTGTGACCACAATCGAATTGCCCAATCAATTTTGACATTGATCACAAAATGTTTGCATTGGAAATGGACAGGGTTGTGAATGTTCAGCCTGTAAGATGGGAGATAACTCTTCAAAGCTTAGGCTGTATTTGGATCAAGTTACCAAATATTAAGCCGATTCTAGATTTGTACATATGATTTTTTATACGCCCACATTTTCATGTGGACGTACATTGTCGTCGCCCCTGTCCGTCCACAATTTGTTTGTGGACACTCTACAGGTCACAATTCAATTTTTATCCGATTTTGACGAAACTTGAAATATAGGTCTTACTCCTACAGCCTTCGATTGGTTGAAAATTCATATTTTTAGCTTGAGGATTCTCTAGAGGTCAATTTTTTTTTTCGGATTTTAATTTTTTTTAGATATATTACCATTCTACCATAATGAAGGTTGAATTCGAATTTCGGGAAAATCGAAATCAAACTGCCCGACAAAATGTGTATAAGTATGTAATACAAAGGTTATGGACCCTCTAAGGTCACAATTCTTATCCGATTTCGATGAAACTTTCTGTATTATGGCCCCTGATTGTACAAAAAAATCATTTTTGTTTTTAGCTTGTTCTCTATCCATCTCTTGTAGTCTGGAGGCTCAGCGCGGGGGAGGGGGGGCATCAAATGGGCACAAAACCAGACCCAACTTTTCTAGAGTAAAATTTTGCGTAGAATACGATGCCGAGTGGTAATCAGTCCGCCGTTGGGGCGTTTTCGAGATATTCGGGGTCAAAGGTCAAATGACTTCATTTGCACTGAAAGTGAATGCGCGGTCATTCTTGTATCATGAAAATAAGCTGAAAATGATCGAAAGTAATAACACTTTCAATAAAAATGTAAACTTGCTAATATCACCTTTGTTCTTTGTGACCCCAGAGGTCAAAAGGTCACATTTTCCGTTTTAGCACTAGGAAGATTTAAAGTAATAAATGTTGGCGTAAAAGATAAAAACTAAAGCGAAACCTGTTCTAATTAATAATAGGAACATTTAAAATTTTTCTTTAGGTGCTCTTAGCACCAAACTTTTACTTTGGAACGTCAAAAATGATCTTGCATAACAGAACCAAAACGCTTCGGAGCCTGTTTCAAAAATACGTAAAAACTGTTAAATCAAAATCTCTCCGAATTAGTTTTACAACGACTGCTATACATAATGATACTAGTTGTCTGAAAAAAAAAAACAATTAAATAGTTCCATGGCTGGACTCCAGCCTGCAGGCCGCGTCACAAAGCCTGCCAAAATTTTCCCCGCTAACATTTACCAATACGACATATATATCCTGTGAACTACTATGTACAATGCATTCGTCGGTTTTATCTGCGTCCATGTTCCGGCGAAATTCATAAAAACTCATAAAAAGTTTGCAAACTTTTAATCTCGTCGCCAGATACGTGTTTTCCCGTCACAGATTAACGTCGGTTTTCCTATACTGGAATTCTCGGAAATCCACGCGGCCTGCAGGCTGGAGTCCAACACTGAAACTATTCAATTGTTTTTCAGATAACTAGTATCATTATGTATAACAATCGTTGTGAAAATAAATCGGAGAGATTTCGATTTGACAGTTTTTTACGTATTTTTGAAACAGGTTTCAAAGTGTGTTGGTTCTGTTATGCAAGATCATTTTCGACGTTCTAAAGTAAAAGTTCGGCGCTAAGACCCCCTAAAGATAAATTTGAAATGTTCCTATTATTTATTAGAACAGGTTTTGCTTTAATTTTTATACTTTACGTTGATGTTTTATTGCTTTAAATCTTCCTAGTGCAAAAACGGTAAATTTCACCTTTTGACCTCCAGGGTCACTAAGACTAAAGGCGAATTTAGCAAGTTTACATTTTTATTGAAAGTTTAATTACTTTCGATCATTTTCAGCTTCTTTTCCTAATACAAGAATGACTGCGCATTCACTTTCAGTGCAAATGAACTCATTTGACCTTTGACCCCGAATATCTCGAAAACGCGCCAGCGGCGGACTGATTACCACTCGGCATCGTATTCTACGCAAAATTTTACTTTAGAAAAGTTGGGTCTGGTTTTGTCCCCATTTGATGGAACCCCCCCCCCCCCCCCCCCCGCCGCTGAGCCTCCGGTCTATTGCAAAATGTGGGCGTATCCTGCCTGGCAATCGCTGGTTTCAATTATAATTAGGAAAAGCAATCTAAATTTGACAAGAAAATTTGGAAATTGGCCTCTATTCAATTATTTTTTTAACCCCAAAATCACGGACCCTAATTATCTTTTGAGGTTTCGAAAGTAGTGGCGCATTTTTTTTCTGCAGATACATTCGAGCACCTATAGTTCGAGCACTGAATCGACTAAGCTAAAAATTCTAGGAAATAAATAATAAACACATTAGGGTATTTAAAATGATATGCCAAATCCTGAAGAATGCATGTAGTTTTCTAAAAGATTGTTCTATCCAATCTTAACCAACCAACCCTCCGACAGACCCTAGTTTGGGATCCAAGTAATCAGAAACACGGGTATTCTCTTTTTGGCCTAATATGGTTAAAAACGGTAGACTAGTTTGAAATAGTTCTCTTTGTCGCTTGCTTTACTGCGGTAGCTATGTAAACTTATATTACTGAACGGGGTGGGGATAAAATTTACTTGTTAAAAGCTGGTAGAGGTAAACGGGAAAAACTGGTTGATAATCTTTCATCTTAGCCCATGTTTCGAGAACATGGGTTATTGGACGTATTGCCAGACTTAACTAACGACGCTAGGTACTGGGAATTATATTTCCTTTTCTCGACTGATGCCCAGATAAAATTTTCTTGCAGCAGACGTACATATTAGTCCATGGCATATCCTGAAGATCGTAAACAGCCCCGGTTTTTCCATTCAGCGATCTTCATGAATTACAACAAAAAAGAATGCAGGGCGATCAAGCGATGCGAATGGTGGGAAAAGGGAAATGAGGGATTTATTAAGTCCAACTCCATTGTTCAAAAAGTTTTCCAATTTGTCTGGAAAAAATTTGAAATGACGTCACGTAAAATGTTTATCCTCTGTGATTAAATTTTCTGGTGTCACAAATAAAAAATGTCTAGAAAGACTGATAGAAATTGGATTTGATGGGTCACGTTGCGTCATTTGGAAGAAACCAGTATTGAGTGTTGATTAGCTCATGATTAAAACTTGATATAGACTATACATTTCATTTCATTCATCAACAAACCAGACTTGGCCTCGGGTGCCCATTTCGCATTAAACATATGGAAGGAAGCAAGTAATTACTGTCTGAAAAGATCCTAGCCCGATTTCTAGAGTTATTCCTGGCGTTAAAACTTCACAGTCGCACATGCTTCTCCATTCTGATTACCATTCTGTAACCACGATTCACGTATAAGGACGGATGTTTTCGTCCAGTCATCTGGGGTATCTCTGTCGGTTATTCAAGGCTCGCCGAAAAGACAGGCACAATAATTCATGTCTAGATTATCTGCTCTTGCCCGATAACGGGTGTTATTTGTTGCCTGGCTGCATTGAGAAAACTGGCTCAGGCTGGATTGTGATGCTGATAGTGAATGCTTGTGCATAATAGTCTGCCTTCTTATTTTGTTGCAAATCCTATTTATTTGATTCCATATTAAATCGCATGTACCGATTTAAAATGGCAATGTCTTTTATTGTGGCTACATGCTGCATAAAAATCTTCACTCTTGTTTCATTTCATTAATATTCATATTTTCACCAATGTATTAAACAAATCTGAAAGTATTCAATTAGAAGAAAAAGGAATTATAACACATGTTATGAACACGATCGAGTGTATCTTAAAATTATTGGGTTAAATAAAATCTACGTATACGATTTTTCTTCAAATGCAAGTAAACTTACTTGATTGGTAGTATTTAACAGAACTATTATTTTTAGAAATATATTTTCCGTTTGTTATTTATGTGGCATGTTACCCATTCTTTAAATAAAGAATTTATATCAGAAAGATTTATGGGTGCAAGTAATTTAAAAAATTAAAAACATTTATCCTGAAAGATATGTATAACATTATTTATGTCTGCACGTAAGCACATATTCTACTTTAAAGCATCAATCCTATAAATTCTATTCTAATGAGCATAATGGCTGTTCGTAGTGATATGATTAAGTTTAATGGAACCTCATATTAACTGATAATTTCAATATGAATCTCACCTTCCTCAATTTTTGGAAACCCTCAGAGGTCTGCGATATATGGTTAATGTTTGTAATTTGGTTTGGGACATACAATCCGATCTTGTCCACAAGCAAAGGGTTGAATCAAGGGATATGCATATTCCCGAAGCAACGGTTACCAGCATAATCAGTATATTAACTACTGCTATATGGACGATTGTCTTCATTGGTCTAAAGTTCGATTGACGACTAAATTATATCAGTCTATATACGTCGTATCTGCTTAACTTATAATTTGTCATTCTAACGGGCATCAGTTAAGATTTTGGAAATATATTGTTCATTAACCTGGGTCCGGTTCCTATTTAATAAAGTCTTCTTTTTTATTCTTACACTGTATAATATGGGAACTCGCAGTATTCTGCATATGTAGCATCCCAAACGGCATTATCTTAAAAACCCCGGTGATTTTGAACTGGTTTAAAAATAAGTGTCTGAACGGTATATAGGAGAACCCCTTCAATAAAATTAAGGCAATATGAATTGATAATCTAGCCCAGCTGTTGAAGTCATGTACACTTTCCTATGATTAATGCCGAACTGATAAAACATCTCTATTAAATGTTTTGACACTGGGGGAAAAGTATCTACAAACAACACATTAGCCCGCTACAGATAAATATTATCTCTCTTCTATCAATTACCAATCCATAATTCATAAATTTACCTCTTAATTGGAAACATCAGATGCCAACATAACAAGCTTCTAATCTAACGTTAAATAATAATTATAAGATTTAA